GCCGGTAAAGCGTTCCAGAGACGGCAAACACGAAGCGAAAAGAAATGTGATCACACTCGAGTCTTTTGTCTCTGGTGTGCTATCCTTAGCGGGTTACCTCGTGGAAGCCTATAATCACTTAATGGCAGGATGCTTTTATTTGGGTGGGTCTGGTTATTTAAGATCTGGTGGATGGTGATGAGGTCTCCCCTGTACCTACGGTAACTAAGTGTGAAAAGACCTAATTTCTTTGGTCGTTCCTCATATGATTTGTTGCGGAGGCTGATCACCCATTTTGTCACTCGTCTCTGGACACTTTCTAGAATGTTAGCATCCCTTTTGAGTAGCGGAGGTCCAATGATATTATGCACCTCAAGGTGTGGCCTCACATATGTCTTATGTAACCTTAGGAACAGTTCGGGAGTGAGAGCTCCCAGCTGCACATGAAAGATGCATTTTGGAAAAGATGGTTAAAAAAGTATGTTCTAACACTGCAAACCAGAGACAAGTGGAAAATGTTGTGCAGAAAGTTAAAGGTTGGTGATATACTATTAGTAGAAGATAAATGAGCCAGAGGTAGATGGCATTTAGGAGTGGTAGTAAGGCTACTCTGTTGTGGTGATGGGTGGGTGAGGACGGCTGAGGTGAGAACAAGTTGTGGTGTGTTGTTGCGAGATATTAAGAAACTGTGTCTGCTAGAAGGTGCTGAGAGTTGATAGTCAGAGGATGAACCACTTGACGATTTTCCAACTTAGGGCGTCAACCTGAGGAGGGTTGTAGGTGTACTGCTTTAAGTCCTACGATTTTTCAAAGGGTAGTACGTCGGTGCGCATTTCATCGTACTAAGTGGTTGTTTTGTACATATGTTCATGTTGTACATATCTATTTTATTGGTCTCATCTATTTGTTGGTCGACCTCGTTCGTGTCCGGACGTTCTTCAACTCGCAATCGTCAACCTGAGAAGGGTTGCAGGCGAAATGGTGTAAGTCCTGCAATTGTTCAAAAGAATTACATCGAGACATGATCTGTGAGGTTATGTTTGCTGTTTGTGTATATGTGTGGTGTGTCATATCAATTGGTGCTTTTGGATTCACTGTGTTTACATGTTGCTTTCGTATCTTGTTGTTATGCATAATTTTGTTAAAATTTTCGTCGTGCTTACTTCTGAAGTTGTTTTGAGTCTTCTACATCCATGAATGAATTGATTGATGTTAAAGGCAACAGATGGGTCGTATACGCCGGGGAGGCTGGTGCTGAGAATGAAATGCACGCGGATATAAGGATTAGCTGTGGAATCAATGATTGAGAGTGAATTTAGGCTGTGGTCCCACACGCCGGGGAGGAAGAGTGTAGACGACTGAGGCTTGCATACGTCACCGCTACTAGAACTGAGGCAGAATGAGTGACAAGCGATCGCAGTGGTAATTGGTAGTGAATAGATAAGAGGATGTGCGAAGAGTATCATGAGGTGGTGCTATGGTTACGTTGCTTTCTGCAAGAGTCATTCTAGCAAGTGGAGATTGTGTTGCAAGATGTCAAGAGGACGCCTTTACCTGGAAGGTGTAGGTCGTCGTCGACGAGGGTGATTGCCCTGTGGCTATGCCTGTGGTGTGTTGGATTTGCTGTTTGATTTCTATTTCGTGTTTTCCGTGTGATCCAGTGTCAGTTTTGTTGAAGACTGAACGATCAATTCATGGTTGTTCGCTCAAACCCAACATTTGTTCTTAGACCTTGTGTATAATAACCTTATTTCTGGTTACAGATTTGCGTAAGAATAAAGGATCCTTGAGTCGCCGATCTGTGTTCTGGTTTTTCGCGTTGGTTGTTACAAATTGTTTCTGAAAGTCTTCCAAGGACAGCGTGAGGTCCAGCGTAGTAAGACCTGCTCATTGATAATTATCTTGTGACCTTCTGTTACACTACATCCAATGAGCATTCTCACTCTACCATCTTGCAGTTTTGGAAACGTTATGTCACACATGTTTGGCTTACCGGCAACTGTTTCATGATTAGGTACTATAGCTTCTCCAAGTTTCGTACTGGAAGTAGTGAAAGCAGTATTTTTTTTAAACGGATTCTCCATTTGTCAAGGATTCTACCTGAAATGACACTCATTCATATACTAACGTTTTAGAAGTAGAATTGAAAGTATTTAGGACCAAAGATTGCTTTGGGCCCTTAATACTCAAGCAGCCAGCCCGCTTATCATCTATCAACGTAGCGTCTGAACTATTATCTAGCAACGCATATGTATCGACACATGATCTTCTTCCTCTCACTCTTGCTGGCACGACACCTAAATAGACCTTCTGAAAATCGTGTGGTGCAAAACCGCTATCACGATTAATAGGACTCTCCAGATTCTTCGATACTGTCAACAGCGTATGTAATCCCGATGAATCACTACCACCATCTTCAGCTGTCTCACAGTTAATTCTTGTGTGCCCGTCCTTTAAACAGCAGTAGCATAACCGTTTCCTTTTCACAATTTGTAGTTTATCTGTCGGAGACACTTGAAGGAAACGAGCACACTCACTAAGTATGTGTACGTCATCACAGACAACACACTTTACTGAACGTCCAATGCTTTGAAAACTCCTCGTCAAAAATGACTTTGTCTTACTCGCTAACCTCTGAGTTCCAGCAGCCGGATGCAAAATACTAGCAAATTTACACATAGTCTGATTAACATTATCTGCCACTAATCTCAGTATATCGTCGAAACCTGCCTCTAAACCTTCATCCTCTATACGAGAGCTTATCTTCACCCACTTACCTTGCAGTCGAGTAGGTAGGCGTCTCGTTATTACCTCTAGGACGGAACTTGAGTTCAGATCGCTCATGCAATTCATCGAAATCAACGTATTCTTGTAAGTCATCAGATTATCCAAAAAGTCAGAGAGTGCCTTGGAGTCATCTCGTAATTGACTACGATTACCTTTAACAGCCTCGAATACGTCCTTTGCAATCATCGAAGGTCTCCCGAATCTTTGACGCAGGATACTCATAGCCTCAGAGTGTCCTTCGTTATGGAGCATGAACTTACAGCACTGTATAGCTCTTGAAGCAGCACCAGTGCAATACCTCAAAAAATACATCAACTTCATTTCGTCACTTAAAACAAAACCACTCAACATGATATCAAACTCTTTGATTAACTGTGGATAGTCGGTTGGGTTTCCATCAAAGTACCGAGGTTCAAACTTGGGGAACCTTAAAGCCCCACTTTTATTAACGGCGATCCTTGAATATCAGACTCATCATGGTGAGCATCATGCATATCATGACAATTAACAACTAACTCATCATTACTTACTTTTTTGTTTGCTTCCATGGTTCCACGTCCCTTTCTTGGCCCAGGAATTATCCAACGTCATCATAGAATCCAAATTGCGTTGATAATCCGTGTCCACAGATATGCTGGCTGCAGACCCAGTAAGCAATCATCGAAGTTCCAGAAGGCGCTCCAGAAAACGAATAAAAACTGTCAAGGAACTTATCCCTAAGTTCCTATTGTTACGAAGACGCTCCGCACCGATAAATTCTATGTACTTTTTTCGACTTTAACTCCAAAACACCAGTATTCTTAGAAGGAAGTTATATTGTTTGACAGTAAAAGTCTATGAACAATTGTTTTATACAAAATTATGAAGTACTTTTATTCGTTTTTGTTCGTCTTCATTGAACTTGTGCACGATCGAACCACTCGCGCCTTTGAGATGCCCAACAATGGCTACCAGTTCCCAAAACAAACGTTCAACGTTTACGTCCATCGACGAAGTATGATAAGAATACCAAAATGTGGGATTTAAACAAAATTCGCGTATTTAAATTCTAATGTGAATCTTTTGAATTCCGTAATCCTTACGCATTCTGTCAAATATAAAGTCCAGTTACAAAATATTGCGTACTGCCCTCATACCTTTCGTTGGATTCCAACACATCGGGCATGCACAAACGACATACAGGCTACCTACAAACAGGAAAGATCTCAAAAGTTCAGTAAACATGTAGACAAATTTGAACTAACCGAGCAAACTGAAGCCAGAACTGCTAATTTATACAGATACCTCGTGTACGACGATAGCGCGGTTAATTCTGCGAACAATACCATGATGCAGTACTCTAGAAGCACTGCAGGACCTAGCAAACCCTCTAGGTATGACAATCTTGTATCCTTAAATTGCCTTCAGAGTGCCTTCTACCACTTTCCCATCCAAACACAAATTTCTAAATTCTCGCACCAACTTGCGATCACTCGTCCTCACCTTAATAGTATTCGCTATTCCACCATTAGTAACTAGTCCTCTTCAAACTACTCTTCATGGTCAGCTTTGTCTGTCGTCAACTCTACATCATCAACTTTCAGGTTCCTACACAACCTCCACGGCTTGTCTCTTTCCTGAAGTCCTGGTACTGCCAGTAAGGTCAGGTCAGGAAACTCAGTATATGCTCACCCCATTAACGTTCGGCGATTGTTAGGATGTCTGGAATTTTCGCTGGTGGGAATTATATCAGTAGGACGCTTGTTAACGTTTGGAATTTCCTCTATTGACAAGGCAAAAATTCTACTACATAAACGACTCTGCCTGTCCCAATTACATTGGAAACATGGGCTACGGCAGCCCCTATAGTAGAGGCCGAGTATGAGACACGGGAAGCTGGTCTTGTGTATATGTGGCCATACTGGTGGCTAGCTTGGACCCGAACGGACTCGAAAATATGCATTCAGTCCTTATACTGATGTCATCTTCAAAGCTCATACACTTCTCATCGTAAACCAACTCACCAATAATTACATTTCTCTTCTCAACACAATCCTGATTGATTTACATTAATTTCTCCTTTTTTACAAACACTACCACATGAAGTACCTCTACTAAACCCGCGAAGCCAACTTCCGCCACCCAGTGAGTAGTCATGAAAAGTTTTGTTTAGCCACATTCGGTGTCTCCTATGGCGGGTTGGTTGTTACCTTGGGGACTCGTCCTCCGTTAATGCTTCGCGTGTCGTCCCTGTCATGTTGGGTAACATAGAGAAGCTAGACCCACAATGTGGAGATCCTAGCCCCGCGAAAAAAGATGTTTCCGATCTGGTTTCAGATGCCCGGAAGGCAAGAAAAGCTGTTTTTAGACGTACAATTGATTACAATGCCTCTGCCATCAACTACCTTCAAAACAGAATTTGGATTTCGAGGGATTCAGATCGTCCAATGCTCCAGCCAGACTACCTTTGGAGTCCAAAGGTAAGGTAAATCAAAAGTAAATCAGTACGTTAGCTTTGTCCTCCGAGGAGCTATATGGATTCCCCAATGAATTGTGTCATGTCAAAACCTGTTCGAACATCAACTAATAAAAATAAGTGTCCGATATATTGCGTCTGTGTAAGTTGCTTATTTCTCTTATTGTACCTAAGTGGACTCCTGAAGGTAGGCGGTTAATAACTGGGGCTTTCAGTGGTGAATTCACATTATGGAATGGCTTGACATTTAATTTCGAAACAATCTTACAAGTGAGTACATTATTTGTGATTCAGTCTACATCTCTCTCGTTTTCGGGCGTCTGAGTATCTATGTATGCTACAGCGGAATTTTTTATCAGTGTGCTGACGTTTTTGTACGTGAGACATTAAAATACCACTGTTGTGTTTTATATTCAAAGTAGACTATGCTATACAATGAAATTGTGTCAGAAATTATCGAACTGTAGTATGCTTCATTCTATTAAAGTCACCCAATTTTTTATAAATGTTCAAACTGATACTCTGTCACAATAATCTGTCACGTGTATCTATCTATTGAGCTTTATTACACTGTGCACTACAAACGCTTTTACCGGTGCGTCTTACGGAGAGTAATGAGCTAGCCATATAAATATGTGTAAAACTTAGGCACTGTGGTAGTAAGTTATTCTACATTAGTTTGTTTATTAGATTTATCACACAGTGAAACAGTATTATTTACTGGATGACGTTTCGAAAAAAATTTATTGTTCGTAATCATATCAATTATCGAAACACAGATTGAGCGAAGAAATATTTACTCTTCAATTAGATCCTCATCTCTGGCTCTGCTCTAATATATATAGCATGAGCGATGCTGGGGACATCACTCGTACCAAATTCCCATGAAGCTTCATGAACTCTCTTACAAATTGCCGCACCTGGGCAGCGATGATTCGAGACGTTCATGAAGCCGGCTCATCCTCCTGTAGGAGATAGCCGAAGTAAAGTAAAAAAAAGTAAGATCTAATTGAATAGTAAATATTTCTTCGCTCAATCTTTCTGTTTTATAAATGTCTAAATGAGGATTTTTCCTATATTAAAATTATCGAAACGTCATGTAGTAACTAATGCTGTTTCACTGTGATACATCTAATAAACAAACTAATATGAAGTTAATGAGCTAGCCGTTAATTTTGCTCTACCATGCTGATAGTGTTATGGATAACCACCGTTAATTAGTAGCGGAACCAACTGCACTTTTCTTATACGTTTGTGAACGCTGCCAAACATGTTTAATCTATACTTAAACATGGATAGAATTATTATTTGTTGAATTTCACATAGTAACAAAGGTGATAATAATTCTATCCATGTTAAAATAATCTATACTTAAACAGGCTTTATCTGAAAACCGAAACAGTATGCTTCATACGTGAATTCTCAGTCCATATCTGTGCCACTTCACAAGTCTAATTAAGTTGTTTCCGCCCTTTGGCTAAGACTAAGGTGTTGGATTCTCATATGACAACCCAGAAACGTTGTTTTGTACTTTAAACGTATTCCGGAACATTAAAACGACTTCCAGCTTAGCTTACATCTCTCGTCACATACCCAGAAAGATAAAATAAGGTTATGAAATCATTCATTTTCAATCTTTTTCAGTAAGAGGTAGTAAGCTGATAGTATTCTGAGTTAATCTTTACAGTGCGCATCGCCTTGGAAATCAGTGTTATCCACTCGTTTATCGCGTGCCTGTACAATTTCCAGTTAGATATCTTAATAATTTCTTGCACGCGAGTCGAATGGTCTGAACGGCTCATTTTTTCTAACACTGACTTCTGGTTAGTGATGAATAGGTACAAATCATCCGTAGTCCAAATGGATGCACTGTGAATGCCCTGAAAAGTTTAAATTCAACCTCACTGACTTCCCATCAGGAAAGTAGCTGGTTGGCCGGAATAAACGTTAGTACTGCCCAGTTCTTATGAAATTAATAAGATGTAGGTTTTCCTGAAAATAAACAAATCTGGATATATTCATCTCTCCTTTAACTCTTACCAGTTGTCAGGAAACTGATTTCAGCCAATTCCTAATTTAGCCGGTGGTAACTGAAGTGCTCGAACGCTCTTACAGACTCATCTATTTGGAAATTAATTTAGCTCTTATGGACCGTTTGCTGAGGGTCATCGTTGACATATAGGTAATCAGTTGTATCAGTTCATAAGATGGAAACCGGATTTCCCTGTGGAGACCACAGTGTGATTAATTTGACAACCTCTTATCTAAGATTCTAGGTTGGCATACAGTGTAACTTTTTAATTATAGATTCCTCTTTCTAAGTTCGAAAGGAGGAGCAGGATTACATGTATCTTCAGCCACTTGAAAATGTAACATTTAGTGCGATCTATAATGCAATGTTAACATATCCGTTTATCAGTAGGTATCTTCGCTAGCAAATAATGTTGCGATGCTATAGTAATTAGTCCTTATAAGAAATATATATATTGTTGCAACGTGTAACAATCTTAGAAATAGCGTAATTCTTGAGCGATGTAATAAGCCAATAACAATTGCTTAACAAGACAATAGAAAACGATGAGTAGATTGAAATTTATAGTTCAATAGGAAAGTCAACGGCAGACGGGAAAACTAAATGATGCAAATAAAAAGAAGAGAGTTACGAGTTTTTGAATCCAAGGATGGATTCCTACTTGACATAAATCATATTCAAACGGTTTTGTTGCGATAAACTCAGCAAATCAAAGAACACATGGATTTCTCCGTTTGTAAACGGTGTCCTGTGTCTATCAGGCGTTTGGTGACAGGGGAAATCAGACTACTCGTTCACTGTGATCGAAGGCTCTTTGGTACATGTCCAGAGAATGTCACACGTAAGTCCTTTCTAATCTTATGAGACTGCTCCCTCATATACACAAATGTGGCCACCCTTTGACAACATTTCTGACAAAAAACTACGATCTCAATGTACATACATTCTTTACTGTAGGATCGATCCTTATTGATAAGAAAAAGTATGTTAGAATTGTTTTATAAGTCGTATTAAATGTTACAAGTTGTATGTAGCTCAAGAAAATTGGCTAGATAGGGTGGTTTATTCGCCCTAAGGCTTTGGCAGAGCGCAAGTTTCTGAATACCCTAATACAAAAGTGTGTTTGTCATGCTATTCGCCCCTGTTGAATGTGAGATGATGCTACTTGATTAGTCTGCACCAACTCTTAGTTTTAGCGTAAGAAAGTGAAATGGTCGAATATGTAGACCACTTCACTTATTTGTGAAGTCGCTTTACGGATATGAAAGATTTGTTTATCATTTGCTAGTTCTCGTCGTTTCCGGTGTAGGCGTATGGACACTTGTACTGCTCGGGAGGTCTCTTCACCGTAATCTAGCATACAAAACATTTAGAAAACGAGTCATGACCACACTAATCAGCAATGAGTAAAATCCACTGTTTGATAAATTGTTTTGTTCAGAAAGCACTTTTATCAAGTGTTTTTTATTTGTAGTAATTATCTTAGTATTCTCTAGTCACTTTCATGTGGAAGTTTCTGGTTGACAGTACATCCGTTACTACGTGGTCTAGAGTTTAAGGCGTTATGATCTTATTTTGGCATGATCTTTTGGCAACTCCATGTCGTGTGTTCAAAGAAATTGTTTTGTAACTAATGATGATCAAATGTGTTTCAAGATAATGTTTCTGAAAGTTGCTTATTAAGATATATTGTTCACTACAGGCCCATGAATCACAAATACGTTGTATGAAATGGTCCCACAACGAGGAATGGTTACTCACAGCCGATCATTCTGGATATGTAAAGTATTGGCAAGCTAATATGAACAACGTTGAGATGTACCAAGCACACAAAGAACCGATTCGTGGCGTAAGGTACGCTTTTCCTGATTTGGGATCCTGTTGTTCAGTTCCAGCAACTTTTAACCAACTTGAAACTTTTCCTACATGTGACAAGTATCTAGATTTCCTCTTGCTATTGTACCACTTTTTGTTAAGTACAAAATACACCAGTTATAAAATTGTAGGTCCAATAAAGGTCTTGTATGTATTGCTCATAGTTTGGTTAGTTGCACTTTGATGTGATTTTTTGGGGGGTTTTCGACGTAAGGCTTGACGAAACTAGAAAAAAAGGTGACTAAACACAGGGTTGACAGTTAATACCTTTTATTACTGTATACACTTGATTGTTCCAGTCATCTTTGGATCTAAGTGGATGGTAGTATCGTTACGCGAATTATTTCAGTAAGATTTGAGAGAATAATATTGGATAGTAAGAAGTGAGTACTGTATGTAGTGCAGGATATCATGACAACATTAATTCTTTTGCACGAGCACATGTTTGTCTTCATGCTAGCCGTGTCTAGCCTTGTTTTGCGCCGATAATCCTTTGGTGTATTCGCTTACCTCACGAAAATTTATACCACAATGCACATTTGTCAACGATTTTAAATCAAGTAATATAACAGTACCAACGCTTATTTTCTTAGTAGATTTTCAAGACTCACTTTTTTGCGCTGTACATATCGGAATTTTTCAAAAACACAAGCGATCCGATAAAGAGCACTTGCGTTTAGAAAAATAAATTGCATGGAAATTGTTGTTCTTTATACCTCTTGGTGTCCGAGATGACCCAGGTATATAAGTTATCTTCTAATTGCAGTATGCGTTGGAATTTACAAAATTTCACATCCATTTATCCCAACCAGTATGCTGAGTAGTATTCTGTCGATGAGCGAATATATGAGGTGCTTCTGGATTGGCTGTTTTTTCTAGAAAGGTAACTGAGGTTTCTCAGATTAGTGGGAATATATGGTGCCTTTCCCAGCCTCGGTACAAGCATAGTATACTAATATTCTAATTAGTAGTGATTTTACGAAATAAAGAAAGGCATCTTATTCAGTTACAAACCATGTGTTTAATTAGATTCCACTTTCCTTGGCTCACATAACATTTTTAGTAAAAAGAAATGGTGCGATCCAGTAAAAATTCATATTTTAAATTATGAAGCGAGCATGATGTGGGGGTTTGTGATAATACCGGTTACCCATATCAAAATAGGTTGGAGTTTCATGTTGCATCCATTGCATAAAAGCAGAGTACCTAATCCAGTTGATGCATGACACCGCCTTATATTTTCTTTATTCCCAAGCCAGTCAGTGAGCCATTTATTTTCTGGATCCCAAAAGTAATCGTTCCTGTTTCGGGCCATTGCTACATTCACATATTTTTATTTATTCAAACACAAACTTGGTAAATTGTGGGCATTAAGGGATGCACGACACAAAATCTCGCTTTTCATAAGAGGGTTGGGATTACTACCCGGACGCCCAGGCCGAAGCAGATGGTCGTCTTGAGGGGTTATCCCCTAAGTCATCAAGAGCTACGTTCCCATAGTTTCCAGTTACCAAAGCAGGTTCACACATCATTCGTCCCAACCAGGTTCTGGAGCCAATGCACATCATAGGTTTGAAATTAGGGTTTTCTAGCTCCCCCTAGGTAGCCTCTCATGTCCACCAGTTCGTTTGTAAGCACCAGACGTTCTCATATACCCTCTCTCTTTTGTGAGAAACATCCCTGCCGCATGGAGGTAGTGAATAGGACTTGTCTGACGTGGTTTATGAACGCGTGAAGGACATGAGAGAGGAAGGTCGGAGTCCACACACCTTCGGGATTGGCAGATCGCTTATGCGGACAACTTCATCCATATTTGAAGCATTTTCATGTGTGGTGTTTTTGTACAGCTTGTATGAGTGCTTTTCATACTTTGCTAGTCTCGTTAACTTTTATACAACCAGTGAATCTAAAACTGGCTTATTGAAACGATGTTTACTCAACTATGTGATATGAAAGACTGCACATTCAGCAATAAAAAAATGCTAACATATGATCAATTCCATCGCCGAGATAAATGCCACCAATTGAAAATTAATTGAGATATTTTAACAAACCATCACACCTCTTGTTGAAGCAGAAGATCTATATCTTCAAAAGACAGTTTGTTGGGTTTTCTTTTGATGAAATAAATTGTAATATCTTTGTCTTGTTTTTTTTAACACTAAGCTATATAGTACTAATGTAAAGGATGGAGGAGATGGGTGATATTCGTCAAATAAAATAAATGGTCAAAAAGAATTCATTACTTTTACGTTACTCTGTAATAAGATAAATACCACAGGAGTTCAGTTGTACCGATACTTACTAGTGTTTATTTACATTTAGAAGGCATTTCCAGATGCTACCAATGCACATGGTCGTAGATTCCCCCCCATAAATCTGATCATCGCTAGTGTGAAGATAGAAAAATTCATGATTATATTCATGTACATTCCTGTGAATCAGTCTGTCACCCTTGTTATTTTGTAGGTGAACAAAAATTGGCATCGTTTTTAATTCGATAACAAACAGTTGAAAGTTAATTATCTACTTGACAAACCCGTACGTTTATCATCATCAGCGTGTTTATCAATATCGAAAAATTATAAGGGTTTCGAGTTCTTCAGAGGGATGGCTTGGTATAGTGCATGGTTGGAACTTTTCCTCCACTATGTATTCTCACCCAAATGGCACTGGATTAACTACAGTGTTGTTTGGTTGGTTGGTGACTAAAATGCTTACTTGAGGTTTATGTGTAAATTAATATAAAACAAGGTGAGCGGTAGCATTATTTACTAGGAGCTGTCTCAAAACCAACTTATTGTCCAGGATATCAGTGTAATCTGACGTTGATCAGATCACATATGTTTATGGATAGTAAATTGCTCTTGAAATGTCTTCCAGTAAATCATTGTCGGTCTAATGAAGTAGATATGTGCAATACAGGATTACAGTATGTATACTACAATACCGAAACACGTGAATTATGTTAGATTTGTCGTCCGTAAACTGTGAAAATAGATATCCAACTCACCAATCACCCACATTCGGTAATTATACCTTGGTAGTGGGAGGATTTGAGCCTGTGATCAGATGCCTGAGGTTAAATACTTGAACTGGCAAGCCACAGGCCGGCTTGAAATTAAAGAATATGTATGTCACTATTTACGTCCAAAGTGTATAACAATTACTTAGCTGAAGTTATCATTTATTGGACATTAAGAGTATTCCTTATGCTAGGTGGACTGTTGTATTCTTAGTCTTAGGGTTTACAGTTTTTGCTAATTCTTCTGACTTATTTTTCAGCAAGAGCATTTATAAGCAGAAAGTTTAGGAAGCGAAAATCCTTTTATTTTACAATACTATCTTTTGTCATTTGTAGTTTCTGCCCGTTCGACAATAAATTCGTTACCTGCAGTGATGATTCTACTGTGCGTGTTTGGGATTTTCATCGTTGTGCTGAAGAGCGTGTGCTCCGAGGTGAGTACGGTTAACATTGTCTTACTTGATACAAGTCACAACATGAATGAACGTAGTGTCGGTGAGATTTCAATTGTTTTGCGTTATACAGATTGATATTAAAAGGTTTATAAGGGAAACAGTTTACAAATTTCTTTTTTAGCATATAAGTTAGATAAGACATCAAGTGTTTTAAGTGCTTCTTGATGAAAGGTTGTACTTAAATATTTTCGATATGAGTATGGAAAGCGATTAGTTTTGATTTTCTGGATAAGATTGACTAATTTTCGTTTAACACATTTACTCATGGGATTTCATATATAATTTAATGCATGTTTCCCCTAATTATGAATAAAATTCAAGCACTGTGTTAAAGTATAACTCGGTGTTGCTTTGTTTATTTCGTAAAGTGTATAGTGTCGATATTACTGTAACTCTATGTACTTTACCAAATAAACAAACTAACATGAAATTGATCCGCTTTTTGTAAATTAAAAACAAAATTGAACCGAAATAAAGTTCGTTCGATTTGAAAATTATATAGTAGTTGTGTGTCCATCTATCTTTTTCGGAAGAAATTTTCACATCTTATAATTGTCGTAAGATGTGTAAAGCAGCTACAGTATTGAAGAGTATTTGAGATGTCACATTTGGCTGTAAACTTCAATCGATATTCAATGTCAACTTTGTTCGTAGCTGTGCTTGTGTTTTGTCATACTTGTCGTGTTTTGATTCACCTTTTTAATCAAGTGAAATCAAAATAAGTGAGGATTTCATTTCTTGAGTTAGAAGAAATAGGGATCTTCATACGAAATGTCAACTGAAAGGAAAAAATGGGATTGTCGGAAGAAAATTGTTTTGTTTCGGCTGGCGTGATTACAGTCTGTGCACATCTTTTTTAATAAAAAGATTTCGGAATGGATTTCTTCATTGTTGTGTTAATTACAGAAATATAAAGCATGACAAGTTGTGGAAGAACCATCATATAACTCTAAATAATAAATTGATGAGTACTAATTTCTCCTTTTGAAAATGACCTCACTTTAATAAAAGTTATGCGTTAGTTTATGTCTTTGAAAATGGTTTTCATCAAGTTTCTATTTAAAAATATTTTTGTTGCTAATTTTTGGTATCCATTTTATCTAACAACCCCCTTATGCATACGTATTGTCAACGATCGTTTAAAAGTGTGTGCGGAGTGTTGTTTGGTATAATTTTATACACTGTCATTGAGTTAAAATTATGCAAGTGCAGTTATCTTTCAGATGGACTTTTTCAATTCATAAATTGCATCATGTTTTATCCTTGACCTTCTTATATCTTTCAAAAGACTAAGATTGGTGAACAGAATATTATATAGTTAGAGGCAATCGGCAGGAAGCCTTGAAGCTAGGTTTCATGCTTGACAACGCTCAACAATCAGCAAGGCGTATCTGTGCGTCGGTGGCACAGCGGTTAGGAATCTCGCTGACCATGCGCATAGTTCTGGGTTCGATCCCCTGCCGACGCACACCTGATGTCAGTGGTCGGCCTGCAAAATTTGGGCTACTGATGTCACATGCTGAAAATTCCATACGTCTATCAAAAGTACTGTGTGGAATCAAGCTATAGTCAAAAAAACCTTGAAGAAACTCATGTTCCTTCTGAGATCCGAACCCAAGTCATTCAGTGCTGCAGTCGAAGACGTTACTACTAAGCTATTCGGACTTGCTATTAACCTCCTGTAAGGCTGTAATTGATACTGTGGTTGAACACTAGGTGGTAAGTAGCTAGTATCATATACGTCTAATCCTTTGTTTAGTGCAGACTAAATTATGTCAGTCAAGTGTGAGCAGAATATTCTCTCCGATAACCGTCATCAGGCTCTACAGTAATATTCGTAATATTCGTAATAGTTAAAGAATCAGTGTTATTAACAACATGAGAGTTTTAAATAACACCGAATCATTAAGGACAATAGATATTACTGTTCATAACATGTGTATGCGGTTATATGCGTAGCGATAGTGGCTAGACTTGTTTCTTTCACATAAAAAGTTCCGATGTAACGGTAGAAGACGAGAGACTTGGTAGAGGAATGTTTTATTTGCGATTTGGTATTTCTATGTAGCGAAATTATGTACACCTCATCCTCAAACCATCATTTACACAGATTTTCCGTGTTGTGTTGCTTCAGCAGTTCCTTCATATTGTGTTTCTTTGTGTTCCTTTCGCGTCTCCCACGTATCTCTGCAAGGCTGTATCATTTGTTTTCTCTAACATCAAATCTATCTCCCCGGGATTTTATATGCCGATAATGTCTCCTTATATACTACTGACAAGTCTTGTCAGTAGTACACTCCACACCAATTGTTTTTCGTGAATCGCAATATCTTCTGCTGTTCGGAATGTAGGGGCCTTTAGCAATTTATTTGATACACGATAGATGCTAGGAAATGATTTTTCAGTACTGGTTTTATCTAACCTATTTGGATCAGGTAATCAAGTATCGAATTAGTAACGGTTTTCACTACACCGTTATTTAACCACATTGATAGGTGCTCTCGAGCACGGAGGTGGTGTATGCACATTATCGCATAGAAAGGTTTTGACTTGTAATCTAATTTATCTTAATGATTCGATGTTACTTAAGAGCGTTGTTGTTTTTGATGTGGTTGTTTTCTCTGAGCTGGATAGTTAATTGAACACAACCACATCAGTATCATCCACCTGAGCTACAAATCTTCTCTATCATATCTAAGAGCGTTGTTGTTCTCCATAATATTTATTCTTCAACTATTATAGATATAGAACCTGATGTGAAGTTGTTATCGAAAAGAGTAGTCTTCGTTCACTAATCAGTCTTTTGAAATTTATAATGAGCATCTTTAACCAATCGCGTCATCATAGAAACTATTTAGTTTTGGTTAAATGTGTTGTTTCATACACAGAAGTATTGATTAGTGGAATGTATTGCTGAATAAACTGAGTAATTAGATGTATCTAAAGCTCACAGTCATAATTTTTGTACTAATCAGATGTAAATAGTTTGATTGAGCAAATTATCACCCTGTTAATGTTAAGTGAATATGTTAAGTGGTCAGTTAAAACAAAATCAACTCAAAAAGTGAGGATCAGACAATACTGGTACATATTTAGATTTTTGATGAACAAACATCTGAACTGTATACAGCACAGAATAGTACTGGACGAAGTTAGCTAAAATAATGAAGTATCGACTAAGTAAGATAACAGTTGACTCTTCTTGAGCATAAAGTATTTGAATACAATTATAAGATTAACTGGTTACATATTTGGTAGGCGTAACTGGTAGTACTTAGAAGGCGTTTAAAAGGAAAAGATAAAAGTAACACGTCTGTCAAATCATACATTAAGAATTAAATTGAAGAGGTTAGCCAAATGGTAATAACTTCACGTGCAATCAATATTTTTCCCATTCATTCTCATTGTAAATGGAAAATAGGACCTCAAGTTTAGAAGTTTTAGTAGAGACGATGTTTTTTTCATTTATGGAGTAGAACTTTTAGCATCTTGCCCAACATTCCCTCTTTCTCGGGCTTACTACTGGTTGACTAGTAAACTGAGGGAAGTTTAGGAGTTACGCTGGGATAATTATTTTTAATTCACACTGTTAGATTTTACAGCAGTCCGATAGCAGTGGTAATCGTGGCGGTATTAATTTCCATTCAACACTTGAATGTTGTTATTACTTGTCACTATTGTTAATTAATTTTGGACAGTATGTCAAGTTTTACCTATGAAATGTCTTTACAAATATGGCTGTATATTTCATTCAGGCTTAATGTCATTTACAGTAGTTGATTTTTTTCCCTTCATTCTTTTGTGTTCCCAGTGGAACATAGAACTTCAGGTTTTGAGTCCTGAAGTTTCAGGAGCATTAGTGTTGTCTCTTTTTACCAGTCTAACACTCATCTTTATATCTTTTAATGTCTTAGTGAAGTAGGTGAGGTTTAAGAGTTCCTCGGTTGAGAATCAAACGCTGGACCTAATGCTGTTTTGGTATGCACTCACAATACTCAATATTTGATGTATTTCACTGAAGATGCTTCCTCAACACCTTATCTAACACACCATATTCGCTTTCTAAAGCAATGCTGTTATGTTTTACGAGTAGTTTAAGAATTCTTGTTATTTAAAATCTTCAGACAAATCTGATGATTAGTCGTCGTCCATACTATGTGGTGTGCTTAAAAGTACAATTTTCCATGTTAAGGTTATGGATAATATTAGTGGAGATTCACCTGTGTTTTCTGAATTGCACAAAAAGATTAAGGGTATCTATCTCTTAAATAAGATGTTTGAAACCTCGAAATCTCATAAATCGACTGTAGTTTATCAAGAATACTAGAAGTACTAAAACTGAAATACGTTTGAATATAAAAGCAAAGATTTAAAGAGAAAAGTTGGCTGGTTTCATTGACTTTTACCCTCATGAAATCTATGTTCATTATGGAATCTGCACGGGCATGTACTGCTCAACTTCGTAGAAGTACTCACGTACAGAACCCAAAATTTAGCTAGGTTTGGTGTTACTAGTCAGTTATTAAATGCGGATTCAATGGTATCTGTTTTCAACTACTATCTGTTTGTAACAATACAATATCATTATCTGATGTTATCGATGAAAGTCGATTATCTGGGAACTGAATAATAATGATTGTTGGGGTCTATTACAGATTGGTTAAAGTTGTAAATGATTATTTATTCAGTATTTGACTAAATGTTAACGTTCTTTGTCGGTGATGACATGTCGCAGTAGCTTAAGCACTCAACTTTCAGTCAGTGGTAGAAGAATAGAACTTGTGCACTGTGGTAGAGTATAATTCCATTATGGGTAGAATTTTATTTTGTTATACAATATTACTTACTGATGACGTTTCTAGCAAAATTTATTGCTGTTCATAATCATATTCTTCAGTCATTGGGTCTTGAGCTCGAATCCCTCTCCACCTACTTCAGCCTGGGCAACTGGGTAGTATCACCAGTCGTTAGACGATAATTTTACCTCATTCATAGCTTGAAATATGAAAGATCTGTTCGGGACATTGAGCTCAAACAAGAATGTGGTGTCTTAAAGTTCGAATGGTTTTAGGTTTGATCCTCTTCTAAATTGTATACACGAACTAGTGATGATATAGCCTCTAGTAGAATGAAGTCACTGCTAAAAGCTGTTCAGCGTTTATTAGTTCTTCAACTGATATTATACTGAAACGGAAATTTATTTAACGTTAGCCAGCTATTCATAAGTCATTTTAACGTTTGTCATACTTTATTTGACTGTATTCTGCCAGTTACCCATAATGCTTTATATCTCTTCAAACTGCTGAGTATATTCGTGTACTTAATAAAAAGGTGTTTATTTACAAAAGTTTCCTCCTCTTAGTAGCATGTAATTTACTATAAACAGTTTTTCTACGGTTCATGTTGGTGATCATCTATTCGACTGCCTTGTCAATCAATGTGGATACTCTAGTGTCGTCTGTTTGTTGATTTTGTTCATTTACAAAAAAAATTATTATTTTGAAGTCTATCAGTTAATGGCAATTATCACAGACAGTTGAATTATCGATGTGGATCCTACTGATATCATCAGTGCAATATAAATTAGGAAACGATTTTAAATTTGGCATACATTAGTAGATAATTTTGTCCATATGATGGATGGGATGTTGTTGGAGATATGACAAAACTTGAATTGAGTCTAGGGACGAATGTGAACAATCAGGCTAGGTGATTTATCTATTAGCTTGGTTGTTTTAATTTCGCTTCAGTTTAACAACCATTTGCTATTTCATACATTTGGGACAATGAGCTTTACCTATATTGCGTGAGAGTTAGTGATACTCTACGTGGCCGTTCGAACCTACTAGATGTAGCGGGGTTCGAACCTGGGGTATCCATTGGTTGAAATCGAGCGCCTAGATCAATGAGGCCCAGCTCCAGTTTCATTTCACTGCATTCACTACTGAGTTTTGATTACCTGTCTCATGTAGTCACACTAATAAATAGTGTTATCTAGTTAGTTAATAGGTTTAAACTTTCAGATTTACGTATATGTATATAGTAAGATAAATAAATTTTTAAAAAATTCATACTTCTCTTTCTCAATCTAAATAATTCTGCTTATCTTATTATCTTAGGTCATGGATCTGATGTTCGTAGTGTAGCATGGCATCCTATTCAATCTCTTGTTATATCCGGTAGTAAAGATGCACAACAGCCTATAAAATTATGGGATCCTAAAACCGGTGAACCTGTATCTACATTGTAAGTTTGCATTTTGTTTTAATCAATGAAAAACAAATTATTATTATTATTATTACTTTGGGTTCTGAGTGGAACATACGACTTCAACAGCATATCCCTTTATTATCGTGTCCTTTGCAGTTCTTTTTAGTTGGTTCCATGATTGCCCATAAACTTTCATCTCCTCCATATTGCCCCTCGGAAATATAAATCGTCGTTTCCCACTCGGATTCCCCTCGAGCAATGGCCTGCTGCTCGATTTCACTCAACAATAATCTCAGCGTATACCCTATCCATCTTCATTTCATTTGAAGTATTTGTTGAGCAACCGGTTCCTGATTGGTTCGTTCCCAGAATGTTTTGTTGCTAATTCTTTCTGGCTATTCGACCTTCAATTTAGAGCGAAGGCAACTGTTGATCAAAGACTGCATTAGCCTGTCGGAAATGCCCTTCGTGATGCCCATGCCATGTTTCTGACCCCAGTATAGAAGAACTGACTTAACATTAGTGTTAAAAATTTGAATTTTGTTCATTATACTGAGTGTAGAAGATTTCCTAACTGATTTCAGATTGATGACGGTCTGCCTTGCCCTTTCCAATTCTGGATTCGAAATCTTCATCCGTGTTGTCACCTGTAGTTGGAACGATGCTTCCTATATAAGTGTGAAGGAAGTAACCTCTTTGTGCGTTGAAGTTTCTGTAGCGATTTGGTTAAGTTTTTTTTTTGGAGGGGGAAGTGCTAGCACCACCCCCCAACCCTCCCTCTTTATCCGCGCTTGGGACCGGCTAGAAAACTAGCGAGCTAATAATCTAGGTGGGGTTCCGTTGATGGTGATCGGATGGGTATTAATTCACTAGATATTATTAACTCAAAGACTCGGAAGTATTTTCATTCCTGAATTGTATTTATCGTGTTTTACAACTTTTCTTTTTCACGCCTTCGCATTCGGAGTGTACCATAGTGCTTCAAGTTTGAGCTTTGAATTTTCAGTAGTGATGGTGGTGTATTTTTCATGGGATCAGGGTACTACCAGCCTTTTCTCTGTAGCGGTCTGACTACAGGCTAAACAAAGTTTAGGAGAGCATCAGCTAGGAGTCGAGCCCTAGACCACATGTGTGATTGGCGAATGTTCCACCGGTGAACCACTGACTCACATTATGTTTTACAGCGATATCTAGTTAATATTTTTTTATCGAAACGATCTAAAATGATTAGCATTGTACTCACCCTTTATCACTGGAACCTTCAAGGTCGTCACTGTTTTTATTGAAATATTCTCTTTTTTTCATAGATCTCTACACACTGCAGTATTCCTACATACATATTCTATTTCTTTTATATGTGCTTTTTCGGAAATGTGTAACCTTGTATTGACACGTTCCTATGAAAAGTCCTACATTGATCCATCATTCGGTAAATATGATACCACTGTTTCGCTTGAAATCTTTGGAGTTACGTGAAAAATATGTTAATCGTCGATTGTAACGTTTGTTGACTTTGAAGATAGAAAGTGAAGTGGTGAAGCGTGTTGACCACTTCACTTACTTGAGGATTTGTATCAGCCTCAACCGTCTGATTGCTCACGAAATCTCAGCTGGGATATGAAAGTCTCGTGTGGGATTTGTCAACTTACGTCGTCTCTGGCGTAGATGTCATATCTAGTTGTCTATCAAAGAACGCGTGTACTACACGTCAGTTCTCCTCCATTCTCCTTTATGGCTTGGAGACAGGACCACTAAAAGTTGAAAATATGATAGATAATTACCTTTGATTATAGGCGCCTGCGTTCTATCTCGCGTGCAAGATAGTATAATAGAATGACTAATATGAAAGTTAGGCGTAGTGTTAAGTAAGGGAGGTAAATCAATTGATAAGGTTGTGAAGTTACACTGATTGAGGTGGCTAGGACAGGTGTTACGCATACCTAACCATTGCCCTCTCTGATGGTCAGTGCTAGCTGACGTAGGATCAGTGGTAAGCAAACCTAAACCTGGAATTAGTCCATGAAATCTTTAACAGTTAGTCTGAACCATGTAAAGGAAGATGTAGGCTTCCTGATTAGCATCCTCAGGATGCTAAGAACCAATCAAGACTGGAGATAATTGGTGATATGGCTCGACTGGGGCAAATGCATTCGCTCTTTGCGGTTTGCTATATCCAATGAAACGTCATTTTCTTTCTTCCATGTTACGATTCTTTTTCCTTCAAATTTCTACTTATCACCATTCTTCCGAATCTCTTATATTCTCTCCCTTTTGTCCTCCTCTGTGTGGCTACTCGAACTACTACACTTCTGTGCCAAGGTCTGTGTTGAAACTAGTCAATTAGTCATTGACTATGTCCTATGAAATAATAGTGGAGACTGGTTGTTTGCAGGGAATTGAAGTATTAGTGAAGTGGTGGAGCACGTTGACCGCTTCACTTATTTGGTAAGTACCATCAGCCCCAACGGGTTGATCTCTGACGAAATCTCAGCACAGATACAGGGGGCTCGTTTCGCATTTGCCAGTTTACGCCGACTCTGGCGTAGGCGAGATGTTCGACTATCGACCAAAGGGCGGGTGTACTGCTCATCAGTCCGCTCCGTCCTCCTTTATGGCTAGTTGTGAGACCTGGCCACTGAGAGTGGAAGACACGAAAAGATTAGCTGTCTTTGATGATGGTTGCTTGCATTCTATCTCCCGTGTGAAGTGGTATAATAAGGTGAGAAATATTGAGGTTAGGCGTCGATCGCTAGGTAAGGAGGGGAAATCAATCGACGAGGTTGTGAAGTTACATAGACTGAGATGGTTAGGATGTGTTACGTATGCCTAGTCATCGCCTACCTCGACGAGCAATGTTAGCGGATATAGGGTCAGGCTGGAAAAAAGCTAGCGGAGGTCAACCAAAAACATGGCACCAGTCAATGAAATCTACAACAGTTAGTTCAAGCCACGTAGGAAGGTGTAGACTTGCTGGCTGGAGTCCTCGGGACGGTGAAAACCAATGATTGGAAACAATTTGTGACATGGCTCAAAATCGTTCTCGATGGCTGGTGCAGATGCATCCATTCCTTGGGACTTATGATTTCTAATGAAACTGTGTTGTTCTTCGTTACTAGTATTCCTTTATCTCACACTTCTGTTTACTATCTCTATTATGCATTTCTCGCACTTTCTTCTCTTGCTTTGTGTGCTACAAGGAGGGAGTGTGGCGACTTGAACTGGTGCACATATGTGCAAAGTTCTATGTTGAAAACAGACAGACAGGGAATTAAAGTATTTTACAATAATTGAAAGTATGCTTAACCATTCTCTTATTTCGAAGAACAGTTAATTCGTAATAAAATAATATAAATATAACAAATCTACGGGTTTTCTTTTTGTATATTATCTCCATTTAGGTATGCACATAAAAACACTTGTACAGATGTTTCTTGGAATGATAATGGCAATTGGTTTTTAACAGCATCTAGAGATCATTTAATCAAATTGTTTGATTTACGCAATCTTAAAACAGAGTTACAAACATTTCGTGGTCATAAACGTGATGTAATGCGTGTTGCATGGCATCCATTCCATGAATGTTTATTTGCAAGTGGTAGTGCTGATGGAGCTATATTTTATTGGCTTGCTGGGTAAGTTTTTTTCTAAAGATTTCACCATTTAGTGCTTTTGTTTGAATTTATCAGTTTTTTTAAAGGCATACTTTGAATTTTCGACAATCAGCTGAAAGTTATATTTGAATGTTATTTTGTATTTTTTGTGTTGCTCACTGAATCTCTTCACATAAATGAGGTTATCAATGGTGAACGTTTAGTGATTTCCTAGTAGGTATTCCTCTAATGCGAACTGGTAATTTCAAGAAGATTTTCATATTAGTGAATGAAGGGTACCATCATTACAATCACTCTACAAAAAGTATCATGGACTAAATATATGCTGCAACATTGAGCCGATTAGTAAGCTGCAGTCAGTATGGTGAAATCTGATTGGTGGTTAAATGGACAATGTTTAGGCACCTATCAATGTGCTGATATTTGATTGGTTGACCACTTTGTTAACGGAAAGGCGATCAGTGTTTGTGTAATTTCACTTCTGACTGACAAATTATCGATCTAGTCTGTAGATACATATAACGAAACTTTGGGAGCACTTCACAATCAGTGATTTGCCAATATATACTAGTCGATGGGTAGTGACAAATGTCTTGCGTCTAGTCCTCGAGTTGGTGCAGACTGAGTGCTGTCAGCTAAGTCTGTAATGTTGTCAGCATGCTAGGTGACCCACCGTCGCCGTGAGCACTGAATTGATATCGAATGATTGAAACCAATCGATAGGAAGCCCTGGAACTAAGTTTCGTTCTCCTTGACACTCGCTAGCAAGGCGTATCTGAAATCTTGAAGGAGTTCATGTCCCTCTAATTATCACTTCAGTGTGCACCGTGATGGCGAGTCACCTATCACGGTAACCTCACTCCAAGCCAACCCATGACATTTGCTACACCCTAGTGACTAATCAAAGTATCCATTACAGTCCTACAAGAGGTCAAAAGCGAGCTCGAATAGCTCAGCGGTAATGTCTCTGACTGCAGCACTGGGTGACGCAGGTTCGTATCTCAGAGGGGACATGAGTCCCTTCAAAAATACAGATATACATTGCTGACTGGTGAGTGCCTACAAGCATGAAACCCTAGGTTCAGGGTTTTCTACCGATTGCCTCTAATCAACTTATATATATATATATATATATATATATATATAGAAAAATAATTATAAATCAGTCGTGGTGTTCTGCCTGTAAGGATAATGATGTGACTCTTTCTATTATTCATGATATTCCACAGATTATGAGGAGTAATAGGGACATAGGTATGCTGATAAGAATGCAAACAGTATAGCGGAACAAAAAAAGATATTCAGACTGACACTCAATAATACCTGTATTGTATAGTATTTTCGGTGTCAAACATTCACTCACCAAGTACAGGGTATCTGTGTATGTATGTGCCTCATTGACTTCCACCCTCGATTTTCACTGAAAAGTACCAGGGATGGAATTCAACCTCATTGTATCTAGTTTTGGCAACTGAGTAATATCATCAGACGTCACATGATAAAATATGTTTCATCACTTGGTACATGAAAATTCTAACATACTAGTATTCAATAATTTTGTGTCTATTATCTTTCTCTCTCTTTCTCTTATTAGAATGGATACAGAACTTGGAGCTGTAGACAATGCTCATGAAAGTATGATTTGGAGTCTTGCATGGCATCCATTCGGTCATATTTTAGTGTCTGGAGCTAATGATTTTGCTACGTAAGTAGTATATACTTATATTCTGCAAATGTCAATTTATTTTATCCTATTTTGATCATAACATCCAAGAGTTAATGGATTAAACATCAAGTATTGGTTTTGTAGGGATTTTTCTTCGTTTGATTGGTTGGAGGATTTCATCATGAGCTGACATCAGTTAGAGAATCATTGGAAAGCCTGGGGGTACTGGACAGCTGTTTAGGACTCTTCATCAGTACGCACCTACCGGGGTTGGGACCCTAGGACCTTCTGGTTAAAAGGCGGGCAATTGGGTCAGATCCTAGTGGCTCAATGGTCTACGAGCTCGCCTTGTAGACAGAGGTCTTAGGTTTGAACCCTGCAGTGTGGGTGTGTACCTGTGAAGAGTCGTAAACCAGGCTGACGAAACAGCTGTCCAGTACTCCCAGGTTTTCCAATGATTCTCTAACTGGTGTCAGCTCATGATGAAATCCTCCAACGGATTAAATATCATAACTTATATTTGTGGAGTAGAATACAATTCATTTAATTTGCGTAATTGTTCTATAGTAAAGCCAATCAACCAAATATATGTTGATATGAATAACTTTTGTGTATGTGTGTATGTTATCTATCATAAGCAGATAGTTATTTCATATATTTATTTCAATTAAAATATTATATTATACTTCATTAACTTTGATCTATCCATAATAGGATTAAAGTTTTATGCACAAATTACTCTTGTAAGACTTGTAATTTCTTTCATATACGTGTTAATTTGTCTATTTTTGTATAACCATTCTGCACACGTATGCATTATTTGAGAATAAGTATAAGTTACGAAAATGTTTATTTAAAAATCAATCACATTCAAATGAGTACTATGAAATAAGTAAAAAAAACAATCAATATACATATATAGCTTTCAGTATAACTTAGAACTTACTAACCTCTGTAGAATAAAGTCCTATTTCCATCAACTGACAATTTTCTTCCTTGAAACTGTCATAAGGTAGTACAAATATTGTTAGGTGAACTTCGATTTGTTAGTATTGTAACGGTAGAAGACAAGAGACTTGGTAAAAGGAATGTTTATTTGCAATTTGGTATCTCTATATAGTGAAATCACCATTTGCACAGATCTTCCGTGTTCTGCTACTTCTTCGTATTGTGTTTATTTGTCTTCCTTTTCAAGTCTCCCATGTTTTACTGCACCGCTGAATCATTTACTTTCTTTGGTGTTAAATCTATCTCCCTGCTATTAAAAATTTATTTATGTTGATGAATATCTCTTTATATACTACTGATAAATCTTATCAGTAGCACATGTCATAGTAATAGTAATTAAGACGACAATAATAATGATAAAAGCCTGTCTAGCATGAATTAAGCATAGGAATTATTGTGCTGGATAAAACGATGGATAGTTCTGTCCTGCTAACAACCACCTTTCGAAAGTTAGACTATTTTAATTCGCATGTTTTAGATTAGTCCATTTGACGAACAAACTCTATTTGATGGGACGTAGTAATCGTGTTGAGGTTCATACTTTTATCGAGATCCCATGTGTGTGTGTGTATGTGTGTACAAAGCGGTCCGTGAACACACAACTTTATCGTTCAGTTTGTTGAAAATAAGGACATATCTTCATTGTGTTCTTGTTGTATATACAATTTCTTAACGTAATAGACAGTAACTGTTATAATTAATCATTGTTAATGTACTTTGACTGCTTAGAAATCGACTTGCTACTAAGATCGAGTCTCCTTGATTTAGAGGATGCAGGTAATGTAGTCCTGAATGAAGATGTGATTCTTACCTGAAAAGTAAAAAGATGCTCCAAGACTGGTCGGCAGCCACTTTGAAAAATATAATATGAAGTGGTTGAGTGTATTAATCACTTCAGTTATTTGAGAAGTTGCATCATTATGGATAGAAAAGACTCGTCTGGCATTTAGCATAGACGTTATATCTGACTATCGATAGAAGGAATTGTATACGCTGCAGCAGTTCACTATGTTCTTCTTTACGGTTGTAAAATATGGCCGTTAAAAGTGAAAGAGCTGAGGAAGCTAAATGAGTTTGACCAAAAGTGTTTGCATTCGCATCTTCCGTGTTGTGATATACTACAATGAGTAATATTGAAGTTAGGTTTAGAAGTGCTAGGTGAAGACAGGCGGTCAATCGGTGAGCTTTTGAGTCTGCAGGTATTGAAATGGTTAGAACACGTGTTGCACATACTGAGCCATCGCCTTCCTCTTCGAGAAATGTTAACTGACTTAGGATTAAGTTGGAAAAGGCCTGCTGGTCGTTGGACGACAACAGAGCAGCAATCCGTAGAGCCTTCGAAAGTTTGTTTGAGACATAGACTGTCTGCTCATGGCCCCTGCACGCCAAGATGCTGTTGATGACATAGTTCAAAATGGTTCTCATTGGCACAGACACATTCACTCTTTGTTATCGTCCAGATTCAATGAATATTCATAATTTTTCCTGTAATTATTGTATCTATCGCACATTTATTTTCCTTATAGTTTCCTTTGAATTCATTTTCTCTACCTTTATGTATGCTTTTGTGAAGTGTAACAATTTCTAGTGCTGCATTTCGTGGAAATTCCTAAGTTGAAAATTTAATTCTATCACAAAGACAACTATATTTTTAATAGTTCACAAATATGTGTTTGTAGTAGTTGCTATTACCTTATATACATGTCGGATAAAATGTAATAGAGAATAGGACAAAGAAACAGAAATCATAGAGTTGAAAGTCGTAAAATGCTGTAGAGAAAAGGAAATAAAACTGAAAAAAATGTGATATTAAGGTAATCAGAATCTTGCAGGTTCATATAAAACCAGCCGAACAACCTTCACGGTTGACACTACTATATAGTGACTTGGTGATTTTGAATCACTTCGTCGTCTCGTTGTTTCTCACTTTCTTCCACTGTAATCTGAACTGCTTTGACAGTCTAATGTAGATGATAGTGAGTAGGCATGAGATTGCAGTCACCGTGCACTTCGACGCAATCACTAACGCTTAGGTACTTAGCTTCCAGTAGCCTACGTGCATAATGGACGTCTTGTCCAATGAAATAAATTTTCGTAAAGTCACTGTCTTGATATCGTGAAATACCACTACAGGTTTCAGTTTCAAAAGTTACATCATCAGGTCAAATGGAATAGTTACTGTCTAAATCTCAGCACAAGTTAAAAAATCTTTTTTTCATTTTCTAATTTGTGTCATCTTTGATCCGGTAGATTAAGTCAATCTATGTGGTTGTGAAATTTCATCGATTAAAGTAGCTGGGACACATTTTTCGTGTACTGAACCACACCTCCTCCATCGATGAGGAACGTTAGCTAAGCTATATGCGGATGTGTTTAGGTTATCTGGCTAAATTCCTTGGGATGCTAGAAATCTGCGGTTAACAGATTCATAGTGATATATGATAAGAACCAACTTAAAATAGTTATTATCTTAGGACTCATCATGTGATTCGTTGTGTGATTGGATGACTGTAAAATTTCATCATCTTTCTCTCAACTTAATCTTGGTCAAATCAGCAATGAGTTAGAATATTTATTTTCCCTGGACCTAGTCGAATCGCCTATCAATCAGAACAATCTGATTCCACTGCCCTGGACCAATTTTAATATGGTAAAAAATATATATAAATATGACGTTCTTTTTCCTGATAAAACTGTATCCTAAAAGTCACAGGCCAGTCGGTCTTTATCTTTTGATATTTTCGTGGCTCAGTTAAGCTAACGGTACCACGGAAGAGTAGTCGTATTTTGCATACCACTTGAATTGTTCATTGGGTCAGTTTTATTATACCCACGCATAAGTCCACTTAGTCATATCATTTGTCAACGCGATCATATCGATTGGCGACATAAATCGTAGAACATATGACACTCGTCATCTTTCACATACTGACAGTGTCCTTTTTTATCAGAGAAATAGAACATAAAGCCATACGCATGTCTCGTTTATTTATTCTGTCTTTTTTTTACATCTTCCTTTCTTTCTAGCCTCATTATTTTTCCTTTCTTTCCCTGTGTTTGCTTACCTGAAGTACGACGATGAACTGTTGTACTTAGTTTTACATTTGTAAAGTTAGTCTACACTTTTACACTTTTAAGTTCATACTTATTTAGAGCACAAAACATAAGAGAATAGAAATATGGAATGTGACGCATTCAATACATGATTTGTAAACAAACATAAGTATTCACTTCTTTTTTTTTACCTCGCTTCTGCAATTCATTATAAATTGTAAAAATTTTATTTTATCTACATCTGTTTATTGATTTTTATTTTAAAAGTTTTTCAGTAGACTGTATTACAATGAAAAAATTAACATTGAAGAGTTTCTGTGTAAAATGCTTAACCTTTTAGTAGGACTGCAGTGGTGTGTATGCACAACTTAACGACACCATTAACCAACTTATACTACTAGGTGGATATGTTGGTTCCACGTTACCTTTGGCTAGTTAATTTTAACAGGAAATTTAATCCCTATGTTCCGATGTGCATTGTAGGGAAGTTGTAGATAGGTGGTGGTTCACTGGTCTAAGTGGGTCGACTTTCAGACAGTGGGTCCAGGAATCGGACCCCGTTCCGCCTACTTCATCCTAAGCAACTGGCTAGTATCACCAACCTTTATAAAATAATGGTGTATTTTACAGCTTTGAAAAGTGAAAGAAATGCTCCGGAAACTGAGTTCTATATTTCTCGTAACATACACTATACAAAATGGTTATAATGCCATGCGTCACAAATACTGTGTTACAACTACTTTGAAGTTGTGGTCATAGTAATTGGTTCCCTTAAATGATAAAACTATTTGCTTTTTTATTTTAGTGTAATCTTCCTTATTTTTTCTGAAAACATCTTTGTGATTGTAAGGTTTCCTAACATAATAGTACTGTGTCATTGATTTTGATTGGACACTCGTAATTAGTGTCCAATCAAAATATCTAATACAGTCCTACAGGAGGTCAGTCGCGAGCCCGAATAGCTCAGTGGTAACATCTCTGACTGCAGCACTGGGTGACGCGGGTTGGAATCTTAGAAGGGACATGAGTTTCTTTAAGGTTGCAGATACGCCTTGCTGATGAGTGTCAACTGGCACGAAACCTAGGTTGAATAAGGCTTTCTGTCGATTGCCTTCAACCAACTAATACCATGTCATTGTGTTTATCAATTTTTATGACCACTAGAATGATTACTAGTTGTAGCTGTCTATTCTACTCAAAGTTGTGCATATGCTTATATATGAGTCTTCATACCACAATAATTCAATGATCTATGCTGTCTGAAACGATGTTTTCCTGAACAATTAGTGACAATACTGAAAATAGTTACTATCATAATTTGATCTGCTTTCAATAGTCTGTATTGACTCTCCGTCTTCCACCATATATGATAGAAAAATTTTTGGTAGTCCAAGATTTAAGCAGGCCGTCAGATAAATGTCTTCATTCGATTGTTTACATTAAGTCCAACAACTTGAAGGCAATTTTTTATTTATCAGAAATTGCTTTAGGTAGGGGAAAGCGAAGAAACAGTTAAGGTTGTGAATTTTTACTGATTGTCTAGAACAGGTGTAAGGCGTAGGTTTAACCACTAACTTCCTAGACGAGCATTATTAACTAAGTTAGTAGTGGATGGTGGCTAGCAGTGGAATCCAGTATGCACATTTCATCCTATTTGGGACTCGTCATCTGGATGTACTTGCATTTCTCATTGAGTTAGAATTAACTCAGAAAATAGTTAGGAATAGAACAAAACATCGTACTAATCCTTAAACTCAGTAACTGTTGAACCATGCTACATGAGAAGTTATAGGTTGTCTATGGTTTTCTAAATGCTAAGATAACCGTTCACAGTGGCGACATAGACACTCATAGAAATTTTAAACGCCTTCAGTTGTGCTCATTGAAATATTTCTTTCTATGGTTTTATTTCTGTTTTTTTCAAAGTGTAGCAATTTGAACTTTTCCAATATGCTTTCTTTATTTCGCCAATAATCATAAGTGAAGTAACTGAAATACGCTTCAGTTACTTGTCTGTGTTTTGTATTTCGCCATCTTATTTGTCTAACGTCAGTTACATTTTTTTTTTGAGGTGAATCATGCAAATTTAGACGTTTGGCCAATATTCACTTGTGAATCTCATAATCTTTCTCATTCTGGCCTTATTGACTGAGTGGTATGAAAAAGAGAAGACGTTCAGCGAATTCATTCACATTGCTATACAATGGCATTTATATATAATAATTTGTGTGTGTGTACATGAGGTTTGTCAAGTTTAGGTAATTAATCAGGTAGCACAAGAATGATCTAATATAGAAACATGGTTAATTGGACAGCAACTGAAATAAGATGGAGTTAGTAAGTTAGATGACGTAATATAATTGACTAAAATGTTTCAACTTGGGTCAGGATAGCAACAGAGACAATAATGCCATTTAAATTAGAATTGAAATTGAACAAATAAGTTGGATGACGTAACATAAATGACTAGAAATTGAGCTTTGGTCAAGTCAGTAACAGTAGTAATGAGGTGCAGAAATTAAATCGGGTGGGGGTAGAGGGCAAGAAGGTTGGAAATGCAAAATATTACAGTTGAGAAGACAAAATAATACTAATGAATAGGCAGAGAAAAAGATTAGGTAGAATTTACTTGTCGAGTAATAAGATAGTTAATATCCATCGCAAGTGTAGTGATTGAACGAACTTCTTCTATATACAGAGTTCAGGACTTAGCAAGTGAATCGTCATTGCTTCTGAAGTTTGAAGAAGTCTGATTTGTACACTTTTAGGAAGACTACTTCGTATTTTGTAGACGACTTTGAAGTTTGTTTGGGGTATAGCTTGGTGTCCGGAATCTATCAGATGTTCTAAGATGGAGCTGCGGGGGCATCATTTTCCTCCTTTGTAAAACCATGTTAGTAAGTGTTCGGTGATACGTTTAGAAAGCGAATGCTGGGTACGACCGACATACCTGGCTCCATACGAGCAGGTGAATTGATAAATACACATTGATGAGGCCAGCAGTGGTAGCTTATGCTTCACGTTCACATGAATCATAGGTTTTGTGGAGAAGGTTAGTTGTAGTTCAGCTGCAAAGAAGGTCTTCTTAAGTGAACGCGACAGTCGATTCTTTAGTGTTTCCGCAGATATATCTCCATTGAATTGAAGGTTCATGTAGAATAGTTGAGTTTTGTGGTCTAGGAAATAAGAACCATTCATGAACAAGAGGTGGTTGTCAGTCTAAAAAGTCTATACACATACCTAGTTACTAAGATGCACAAACATCAACAATCACATCTACCTAAGGCTAGATTGGTTTTTTTTCATTTCTTAGCGTTTTGAGTGGAACATTGGGCTTTAAGCTTTGAAATTTGAGTACCATGTGTTTTTCACAGGGTGAGATTGCCAGCGCGCGACGCCCAATATTCCCTGTTTTCCTTTGGACTCAGCAAGGTTTAGGAGACTGTGTCGGTTGGGAATGGAACCTTGAACCATGTGCATGGTTGGTGGGCATTCTACCTCTGATCCATTGACGCATCTAAGGTTTACCTCTGGTGTCTGCATCATCTGAGTCCTAGATATTGCATTCTTCTCTATTCCTTTCTAAAAATGCATCAGAATTATTCTTGAAATAGGGTGAACACAACATTGTATTTTCTGTGTTCTACACATAATTGCAATACTTAATGATTACTTAAATTTATTTATTTTCTTATAGAAAATTCTGGACACGCAATCGACCTGGTGATGTACTTAAAGACCCAATTAGTGCAGTTGGTTCAGAAAATATTATTCAGTCGACTGGTACAACTAATTTGTTTGGAGAAACAGAAGTTATTGACAATTCATTTAATATTGATTTACTTAAAGTGCTTGCAGATGCACCAAATCTATCATCAAACTCCACCAATCGAATAGATACACTTGATGATGTTGCATTTTCTACTATACCGAATGATGAATTGAATTCAATTGAAATACCTGGACTTAATGAAGGCCCAGTAACAGATTTAAATGTTCCTGATACTGATGATGCCGATGAACGTGATAAAAATAAACTACGTAATATTAGGACTATACCTAAAGAATTTGCTGCTTACTGGGCGAGTACAAGAGTTACAACAGCAATGCCAAGTGTAGTGATGCCTACACCGAATCCAACAGCACTAGCCGCAGCTGCGGTGGCAGTTGCTGCTGTTAACAGTCTGAACGCTACACCCCAGTACTTACCACCTGTTAAACCTCCAGCTTTAAATAAAGAACGATTAAATCAAAAGTCTGTACCAATAAATAATTCTGCAAAAACAACAGAACTAGATGCAGACATGGAAAAAAGTAGTTCTAATGATCCTCCAAAGAACCAAATACAACTACTTGACGAACAACAACAACAGCAGCAGCAACCTGCGAATGAGATGATGATCAATGGTACTCCAAATCATCATCAACACGATCAGTCACGTTTCTCGGATTCACTACCGCCTAAAAGTATGGAGCAAATTCCACCTCTCCCAGAAAAAAATGTAGATATGAGAAGTAACTTGAGTAAGTACCTCAGGTGACTAATTCTTTTGGTTACAGGATTTCATCATGAGCTGACATTAGTTAGAGAACCATTGGAAAACCAGCTGGGAGTAATGGACAGCTGTTTCGTCCTAGTTTGGGACTCTTCACCAGTACATATCCACACCACAGGGTTCGAACCCAGGACCTTCTGGTTACAAGGCGAGCTCGTATACCATTAGGTCACTGGGACCCGATTCAATGGTCCATGAATTCTAACTCCCGCCAATTCACGATATAGCGCAACCGCTAGCCAATGTCTTCGGTGGCGAGTATTTGTCCTCACTAGAATCCCAGGTAACTACTACTTGATTAGGGCCAGTCGCCAGTGAGCATCTCATCGATATTCAGGTATTGGTTTGTAGGGATTTGATTTTTTAATTTTAAGACTAATTAAGTGCTGATCAAACAAAGGATTAGACGTTTGGCAATATCAGTTACTACCTTGTGTCCAATCAGAATACTTATTTAATATAGTCTTACAGAAAGTTAATCGTGAGCATGAATATCTCAGTGGTAATGTCTCCAACTGCAGCGCTGAGTGACGCTGATTCAAATCTCAGAAGGCACATGAGGTTCAAGATCACAGATACGTCTTGCCAACGAATACCAACACAAAAAAACCTAGGTTAAGCAAGCAACCGTCTAAATGTAGATTTTAAATCACATTTATAATTTGCAAATACACAGTTCAAAAAAGTGATCATTTCACAACCGTTTCCTTTAGAAACCGAAATTATTCGGATCACAATGCATGTGATGATGCCATTAAATAGGTAATTAAGGAATCGAGCTTAATTGCATAAAACTGCATATTATTTGATGATTGAGTTGAGAAGTTATATATCGCTCACATCAACCTGTGGTGCTTGCTAACCAGACCGAAGTGAATCTAAACACCGACCGATACCTGAAGGTCTCGGGTTCGATCCACAATGATGTCATATAGGCGCATACTACTGTAAAATCTCAAACTAGGGTGAAACAACTGTCCATTACCTCTTGGTTTCATTTGATCCTCAAACTGATGTCAATTTGCGATTATCATACTGGGATTAATTAAATCCCTGTGCAACAATACTTGAAGATTATAGATTGTAACCAGATTAGTTTCAGCTTCCATAGGAATTCACCTTGGATTCTTATCTCGAAATGAATATTTCGCAAACTGTGTAACTTATTCCGTATTCTACCCAGTTCATTCGAGTAGCTAGCCGAAATTCAAGTTGTTCTTAGTCAAACCAAATACACGACTGATGAGCTTGACCCCAAACGTGCGAAACAGCCATTCGGCTGTATACAACCACTCATCTTGACCAGTCAGTAGTATAAAGTTTCTGTAATTAAATGTAGACTACTTCTCTCATTATTGCATGGTTACATTGAGTGTAAAGTTATTAGGACGACAACTCCTGGTGAAAACAGCATTCTCATTCCTTTCATTTTCACTTGACTGCTACATTAAAATACATTAGAATTGGCTAGGTTACATGCTGTTTTATTTATAAAGTTGCGTAATTACGCAAAACTTTGTTTCTTTATCAACATTGTCATGTAAAATGTTTTTGAATATTAGTTATAAAAAGTGGGGACATTTTAGCTAGCACATAATATGAACACTACCAAAATGTATTGATTTTTTTAATGTAGCATTAGATGTCGTTGTACTGTTTAAAAAATACATTCACAACCAACAAATCAAAGGATACTGTAAATAACCTTAAGATAGCGTCTATCACGATCGTTATGTAGATTCTAGTTCGTAATAGTTATTAGCAAATTTGATACAAAGCAATCAGTCTATCATCATTTTGCAATTCATCTCTACTATTGATAACTTTTAATTACGTATATCTCGTCTCTTCATTTTAGATCCACCAGTTGATTGGAATCAGCGAACTGAAGAACCCCGCAGCTGAACATAAAGTACCACCACATAAAGGACAACCGAACAATTTATATCGCGAACCCTTTAGTGAACCCCCACAACCATTTGTTAACCAAGAACGTTTTGTAGATCCAAAACCATTCCCTAAACACAAAGAAGATAGAGACTACAGGGATTATGATCGTGCTGAACAATACAATCGACCAATCCCTCCAAATGATCCTTACTATAACGGACCTCCTAGTAGTTATCCTAGTGGTCCATCTCACGGACCCTTGGGCCGTAACGCTCCTCCTAATGAACAAATGCATCCGGGCGAAATAAGTCGACCGTATTCTCCAGGCATGGACAGACATCCGTATGATCGGAGAGGCGATAGACCTCCACCAGTGAGACAGAACTATGATGATGACAACTGGAATAGACAATGGCCAGATAATAGAAACACACCTGACAGATACGACTATCCACGTGGACCACCACCTAGATGTCCTCCACGAGAACCTAGACCGCAACATGCAGATTTCTTTCCAGATCCTCATCATCCACCACCGCCACAACCTCCTCCTCCTAATCATATTCCTCCACAAAAACGCCCGCACCCTCCAGGGCCTAGTGGCCAACCCCCTGATCATATGAGAAAATATCCTCGACAGGATCATCCCCGGAATAAACCACCGTGGACTGGACAGAGTCGGTGGTAGTTAGATATTATCACATCCTTTTGTACAGTCTGAACAGCAGAAATGCTGTATTTCCCTATTCACATATTTCTACATCATTAATAAATGTTTTATACTGAGTAACTTTATGTATACTATCATTTGAAACTGCAGAAAAAAAATCTAAAATTCCCAATATATATCCACAGTCTGAAGGTAAATTTTATGCACGGAATGTGAAGATGTATTAATGAAAAAATAACAACATCGACTAAAGTTAATGCCTTGAAGATGTCGTTGAGATTAATGTTATAATCTCCTAAACCCATACAACAACAGCAATACCATTTTTAGTATTTATTTTACAAGCAAGATATTATATGTGATATACATGAGACGCTGCCTAAAATATAAACAACTCTAGACTACTAACTAAAGTAACACGATTTCGAAATGCTAATACGCTTAATCTAATCACAATAGACTAAACCTTATGATGTCCCACACTGACTGCTTTTAACATAGAACTATCCTCAGAAATGCAACAGTTTCGAGTTGCCATGTTAGCACACAAAGAGAAGACAAAAAAATCTGAAAAAACGTTAGCAATTAGAAATATTAAGAAGCAATAATAGTAATATGGAAAATCATGAGGGTTTAATGAACATAGGAGATCAGAGAAAGAGTTAATACATCACCAATAATCTCTAGCCATTAATTCTTGACATTTTGAGGACCTAAACTAGAAAGTGTACACCTCATATGACTCAAACTAACTGTTAAGGCCTTCATGAACTGGCTCCAGGTTTGGGTTTGACCACCGTTTTCCAACATAATCCAATATCTGCTAACATTGCTCGTCTAGGAAGGCTATGGCTCAGCACGCGCAACATTTGTCCTAGCCATTTCAATCGATGTGGCTTCATAATCTCAACGTTGATTTAACCCCCCCCCTTTACAGAAAAATATGCCTAACTTCAATATTTCTCATCCTATTACACTATCTAACACGGATGATGAAATACAGGCAACTTCGATCAAAGACAGCTACTCATATTTTCCACTTTCAATGGCTATGTCTCACGGCTATAAAAGAGGACAGAGTGAATTTCTGCGCAGTATACGCGTCCTGTAATAGGTAGTGGAATGAAGAGCACTGATTCTTCCTGAACATGGACATAATATACATCGGGTGAAGCCAACAAAAGAACATCTACTTTGATTTCTGTGCAGCTGAGCAGTGGTTCGCATGTGCGTAAATTCAAAATAGTAAAAGTGTTTCAGTTCGAAGTAAGTCATCCAAAATCATGTTTGATCGGTGACAGAATTTCATGCTGCAATCCTATTTAAAGATTATTTGCAATATAAGTGAGTGTCTCACTAACGGTTATGGCATCATTGTACCATCCAACACTGGGATTAGTACGACTCTTACAAGTAGGCCGACTACAGTCGTTACGAAGATACAGCTTTCTATACATTAATTGAAATTCACATCGTTTCCGATGGTAAACATGACTAAGTTATATGTAAAGACGCTTGAAAACTCTACGCTTAACTCTGTAAACCTTACAAACAGTATACTCAACTCGGTGAAATTGTGTCACTACACTTCAGGATATATGATGCTTTTCAGCATAAGAAGGTAGTTATAATCAATTATTTTAGCTTTCGAATCACTATTGAAGAGTTTCAAACTCGGAAGAACCAGTTACCCAACACTCCCTGGTTTTCAGTGATCTCGTAACCGTTGTCGGTTTGTGATAAGAATCCAGCTGTTTATCCGTCATTTAGTTAAGAAAATAGAACAATCAATGAAGTGGTATAAAGTACATGTAATCAAAAATTGATATCACTTCATTCTGTTTTGTGAAGTTGTAAAGCGCACAGAAGACTTCTTCAGATCGATCACATAACCGGTTCGAAAAGGTTACGACTTATGTATAATGAGGACGAGGAGGTCTAACGCAAGCGTGATGGTAGGAATATAGCTGGTTGAATAATCACATACAGGGAAATTGAAAATGCCGTTACATTTCATTCGTCAGCAGCACCTCATACAAATACTATGGTGTGAGTAGCTTATTTTGTGACGGCAGCCGTTTTAAGCAACAGGAAACTAATAGTTTTGGCAAAGTAGTATCTTCTGAAATGGTCATTCTAATCAAAATATCCAGTTGACTCATTACGACATACGAACCTTGGCACCAAGTAAGATAGCTACCACCAACCAACCTCCGAGAAAAAGTATTTTGAATCCTCATTATTTCCCCGAGATCCCACATTTTAACATACTGCTCTAAACCCTTAACTTTTTGATAGCTGTCAATTTCACTATCCGCATCTTCTGAAAACAATTTATGGTCCAGTATACAAATGATTTAGTGGGCTTGACATTCGTATTGTGAAGAGGTAATAAAAAAGGGACCAATTTAAGATTATATGTATAATTTTTAATCATGATCTATTCTACCGAACCTTGAAACACAATAGTTTGATTGCACACTAGCTAGTAACTAGTATCATGTGTTTAGTCTTTTGTTTGGAGCAGACTGAACCCTAACAAGGCTTACTCCAACCATCCAATAACAATTCACAGTACACCATGATGGCTGGCCACGTAGCAAGGTGGTTACTTTGCAAATTCGACTGATAGAATTCAGTTTGCACCAAACAAAGGACTAGATGCATGATGCTAGTTACGAACAAGTTTCCAGTCAAAATACTTATTCAATAAAGTCCTACAGGAAGTTAATCGTGGGCATGAATCACTCAGTGGTAATGTCTCTGTTTGCAGCACTGGGTGACAATGGTTCGAATCTCAGAGGAGACATGAGTATTTGCAAGACTGCAGATACGTTCGGCTGACAAACGGCAACAAGCACGAAACCTAGTTTCCAGACTTCCTTCCGATTGCCTTCAACTATCTGATAATAACAATTAAGGTTTGCTAAAGTATCCATCGTTCTACTAAATTATTCGAAACCAGTTCAGTCGTATAGATCATATAAGCTATCAGCGCACATGATTAGTACGGAGATGCCGATAGTCACAAGAATTTACTACAGGTATTCAGCATCTTTTCAATTGGCGTTCTGATATTTAAAAATGACATAAGATTATATTTATATAATGAAGAACAAGAAGAAATCAACATGCAAACATATATTTCAACCAATAACAGTAATAATCACAACAAATATTATCTAGTAGTTCTATAATCACAGATATTAGCCACCCAAACATAGGCTACTTCTCCTCTATGAGATATTTTGTATGACTTCCACGTGCAATAAGTTCTCCTGACTCTTCGTCCATGAACTTGACTTCACAGAAGGCTAAACGTTTACCTTTCTTTAGCACAAAAGAATGCGATACTATCCACGAGTCTAGTTTTCCAGGACTAATAAATCTTGAAAGCAAAAGTTTTCTATTATGTATTTGTGACTTACGATGTTTCAAGATTTACACTCACATGTTTCATATGCCCCAATCTCATTAAATCAACTGTAGATATAAAATCAACAGCTCCAAGGATAAAGCCACCATGTAAAGTGTTTAGTGAATTAGCTTCAGATTTGTTCACTTTGAATCGACACGTTAAACACTTGTCTGTTAGTGAAACAGCTTGAATTCCTTTAAAAATTCGGTTAAATGAAGCATCACTTGTCAATTGAGCTATAGTACGATTTACAGTACTAAGTGCCGTCTAAAATGCAAGTGTATGAATCACGAGTTATTTGAAAAAACAACAACAGCTAAGCCTATACTGCTATCCTAAATTATTTTCGCGAATTCATTAATTATAGACAGTTCTCACTTAGTAGTGATGTGTAGAAATAAATCCTACTTAACTATTTACGATTATCTTAGTCTGAAAGAGACAAGAAAAGCAGCACAATTTGTGAATTAAACTTCATTTCAAGCGAACCCACGTTTTATTTGCAGTGCCACACAGTTTCCATTCACACACCAACAGCAACCTCAATTTTATTAAAAGTTACGTATCTCGTATGGCTAAGATTCATATTTGACAAAACTTTCAGCTTAGCTCAACAGACATTATGTTTAAAGTGGATTTCTATTGTAATACAATGTGTCCAAAACTAAGAGACAGTAAAAATGGTAAAAGCATTAGAGTCTGAGAAATATTCACAACCCAGGTGATCCAACTTTTGATGGTAATTCACTTTATTCGGCTGGATAGTTTCATAGTTTATGTCGACTACTAGAGACTTGTTTATAATTTTCAATGCTTACATCAAAGATTTAGCTGCTTTCGACAAAAGACGACAATTTGTTGGGGGATTGTTACAACTAATTTTATTCAGAGGAAAAAATCACCTAACGTATTTATGAGATCGTTGATTATCGTTACAGTTCATTTAAGTGTTATTACACCCCTGAGTGAACTTCGCGTTAGAGTAAAGATTGGATTGTGAATAAAGTTAAATGACGAGAACCAAAAATCAAGCAAAATAAAAATTTTAAAAAATATCATGTGATTCTACATCTTTTTTTCTCTCATTCCTTCTTTATTACATACCTTCAGATTGAATTCACTTCAATGTACTTTATAAAAATCCAGAATTCCCTAATGACACAATAGTGATTTCGATAACCTTCGTGAGGGTGATCCACATCCAAAAAGATGATGGGTTATTTAGTCAAAGGAGATCATTAACAAAAGAAAATACATGTGAGAATTGAGATCAATATCCGTCCTTATTTGAAAGAAAAGGCATTTTGATTTCACTGACTATTAGAAAGACTACAAGTAAGGTTTAACAATTTCGAGCATTCAACATCATTTAATCGAGAGTAGGTTTGATTTACGTTATGCACTGTTTGTTAAGTGCATTTTGGCGGTTAGTGATTAGTAGTGAAATCTAAGATGCGCATTTCGTCTTATTTGGGACTTACCAGATGGATGTGACCGTATTCCCTGGCGCTTAAATCCAGTACCCATAGTTTCAAACGTCATCCACCTAGGCAAATACAGCCGCTACTTGTACAAAGAGTATCAATTGTTATCTAATTCATTCTGGATCACCTGGTTGATTGATTGGATCGAAGTGTTCGGTGTTTGTTGATATGTCAGCAGGTGGATCTAGATGGCGAGTCCCAAATGGGATGAAATGTGCATCCTGGATTAAACTGCTAGTTACCCCCACCACCACCACGGAAACTACTTCAAGTCAAATCATTCAGACATCGTCGTACAAGGAGCCAGCATGTCAACAGAGGTCGAACACTTCGATCCAATCAGTCAAAGGGAAAATCTAAATTGAATTACATGTTTGTAAAATGATTTCAAGGGTATCTATCGAATACATTTCATAGATCCTTACCACTGAAAATAAATTAAATTTACGAAACTTTAATGACCACATAAATTTAATTGTTGCACAGAACAGATTAATCATGAACGAAATTATAAGCAACACTTAATGTTTTACAGCTAAAGATGATACAGAGGTGACTAGGCTAGAATGTGCTGAGCAAAATTTGGAAGTCTGGATCCACTTCCTGGAAATCGAGTGCTTCAGTCAGTTGATTACAGATGCAGGAGTACTGAAACAATTTCATTTTATATTTTGTACTTCAAGAGTACAGTAAATTTTTTCATTCAGTAGCAACAGGCGATAATGCGAGACTACGTAGTTCTAAAAGAATACTACTTATAAAGTCATTTAATTCATGGCTGTAGCAGGAGTAAACGACTTTGAGGTCACCAGCGTATAGGAATGGTTTACCTGATGTGCAGCAGTTATAAAGCTGTCGATAGAGGCTGGAAATAAAAGCAGTTATAGAACACAATCCCCCCCCTATTTGTAATCTGCCTAGGGTGAGACAACACAGATTCAATTTCAGTTATTTCTACCCTATCGCTTAGAAGTAATGGATTACGATTTCTACAGGAGCACACTTCCTTAAAGAGAACAGTGTAATATACAATGTCAAACGCCCTTGATATATCGATGTAGAGAACAATGACTAGTTTGCGTGCGTCAACTTATGGTGTGAGGTGTTTTTAAAACGATTTCCGGTATATTTATCTAAGAGACTTTGTTAATTCTCACACGTAAAAATCAAAGACACGACGATTCAATGGTTGTCCACCTAGAATACCCCGTGCACTATCGATCATAGTCCATCCCAAATCCATATATTGATTAAAAGCCATAATTATTCTCATCATTGATGGAGCGAGGACAACAAATTAATCATGTAACACGCCATCAGATACACTTTATGTGAGAGCCAATAATACTACGCAGGCTATTAGGATTCAGTGTGTGTTGCAGAACTCATATTGGGACATACCGACTGGGAATCCAATACTTAAGCTGACGACTCATAAACGCAAGGATGATAAGCGAGCTAAATTTCCCATTCCTGACTGGATAGAAACATTTCCAATGAAATAAATCTATTTGAGGCAATGTATGAAATCGCCATGATCGAAATATACAACCATCTCAAATGACAATTTATGGCGGGATGGAATACTAATGATAGAAACAGTATAAATATTTTCACACACTAACCACTAAATTATTGGGATTTCTTGCCGCTGTATTCATCCAAAGCCCACTAATCCAAACAGAAGCGAAAACAATTTCCATAAACAGAAAGATTTTCCAAACTACCTGTCCGATAAAATCAGATTTCACATTACATCTTACATAGAACACCTGTGGTGGGAGCTCAGTGCAAGCAACAATTGTAGACAACAATTTAATGTTGACGTCCCGAACCAGACCATGAGAAAACTAATGACAAAGTTCAATTTCGAGAAATACATCAACCAATCACAGCGGAGTTAAGGCGTGGAAATATGAATCCCAGATAAAATGACTCGATCTTCTGAGAAACGGCCACAAAAAGGATAAGAGAAATAATCACAGCAGGTCAACAACAATAAAGACGACGTTGAATCCTGTAACCTATAATGACTGGACATTCGGGATAACTTTCGAAAATAGAGTAGTGGCATTCAAAAATTACTGCTCGTTTGTGCCTTACGTTTTTTCTTTGCAGAATTTTAATCTTTCGACCGCATAACAGACAGGATAGACGATTATGGAAAATGAAATGAATGTTTTGCCTGTAGATTTATCCTCTGAACCCAGTGAATTAGTTCGACAGTAGAGTCTAAGGAATCGGTTTGAATGTGGAGAATGCATCTGGCGTTTTCAAGAGTTGAAGCGTCTATTCAACTTCATTCACCATCTGATTTTTAATTTTAGTGAGCTAGTAGCATGTACAAAATGCGAGACAGTCAGCTTTTCCTGCATGTTGTCTTCTGTTGTCACAGCGGTCAGTGGAAGAAGTCAGGAACCCGGAATGAAAGAAAATCGCAGTGATTAATGTAATACACGCAGAAATATATTTCAGTTTTAAGTGAAGGGGGTGTCCGTTCATCCTTCGAATGAGGCTTGAATGTGGACAGTATAGAGTGGCTGGACCCATCACTATTATAATAAACTATGCATTTAAAAAGGGAACCGCTGATGTCTGTGGAGCCGGAAGTTCGAAGACTCAGAAATGGACAGAAATTATAAATGCTGCGGCTTCTCATAGGAAATACCTCAGTCGGTCAACTCTCATAAACTGTCACTGTCCAGGTCTTACATCGCTGGACCTCACGCTATCCCTAGAAGACTTTCAGCAAGAGTTTGTATTAATTAACGAGAAAACTAAAGCATTGAATAGCGACTCATGAATCCTTTATTCCTATGCCAACATTTAACCGACAATAAGGTTATTATACACAAGGTCTAAGAATAAATGTTATAAAAATAAATCACGATAATACTTCTGATGATTTTTTATCTTCCTCTAAACAGCGAACGCAGAGACGATGACTGGTGGATTAGTGACTCCCGCGAAAAATGTGGAGGAGTCGGTTTTGAGCAAACAACCATGGATTGATCGCTCAAGCCTCAACTACACTGACAGTTCCCACCACAAGTTATCATTCTAGGCAGTGGTGAATTCAAGAAGTTAATGATGTATGACGACTATAGGATATTAAGGAAAATGTCTACCTCATTAATTAATATTATCCTGTTAACGCTCTCTATAGGAATTCGCCACATGGGCATTCACGCGGGATTCGTGAGGCTGAGTGGGTTTGGTATGTGATGGAAGGCCAGTGATATCTCCAGAAACTCAGTTTTTCAACCAGAGAAATAATCACTTTGTATAGAGAATTCTTCGAGGTCTATAACATGAGAACAACAAACAGTACGAATAGGGAAGGGTGAGTATAAAATATGAAAAACTTTATTCGCAGTCATCTAATATACCAACTGGATGTTACTGATAGGCTGAACAGAAGCTGTACTATTGCGTGCGGGGTAACATGTCTCGAACGATTCCATAACGTCGAAATCGGTCTGGAGTGAGAACTGTCTGCAAGACAAAATTATAGACGTCCAGAATCAGGACATGAGAAAAACCAAGAACAAAGCCTGACTTCGAGGAACTCAACAACCAACTACAGCAGACTTAACGTGGGCGGATTCGACTCACAGATATATCACCGGACTGCCTAATCAACGGCTACAAAGAGATGACAGAATAACCTTCGGCAGGAAAAAGACCATTCAGAAGACGTTGCTTCTCTGCTAATAATAACGAATATTAATGCACATAAAAATCTAATAATACATGTTGTCTTCTGTAGTTACAGTTTTACAG